TCAATCCCGGTTCGTCTCGGGCACAACTGCACCTGCAGGTCCGGTTTGACGATCTTTATCCTCCCAGATGAAGATAGCCAAGGCAAAGGCATTGGACCATGTCGATGGTTTGCTACGCAGACGCTGGCGAGTGAATGAAAGGCATGGAGCATGTCGCTGTGAGAGCTCATCCGGGCTTCTTCCAACAAACTGAATTCAAAGCTTGTTTCTGAGCTTGAGAATGGATGGTGCAACTGTGATTTGCAGTTGCATTGGCAGGTATCATACAATACCATACAGTTGGAGCGCTGCAAAAGAAAGCGCAGGGCAGTCAAAGATGCTGAAGACGCTGAAGTGGAGGTGTAAAAAGGCTTTCCGCATGCAGTTGCCAGGGTATGCGGATGATGCAATCAGGATATACTGAAAACGATATAGCGAAGTCCCAAAAACGATAACTTTGACCAAAAATCGCATTTTTCAATTAAGGTTTTGCCGATCGCTTATATATAATATTGGTCATTTAATATTGTAGACACAATATGACGCCTAGAGAGGACACCAAAGGAGCCTGACTTTTTGGAAACATTCTAACACTGCCCTGGCATACGTAGCGGATATTGACAATGCCCATCAGAAGAATGACCCTTTGAAGAAAGGATATGTAGAATGTGTCGCATTTTTCAAAATTGTCCTAGGAAAATGGAAGATATTCCTCAATGTATGATTGAATATATATATATATATACACAAAAACGCTGGACGATTTTTTGCATTTTTGGCAGGGCTGGTCCAATGTGATGTTTTGTCCCTTGCCACACGCGCTGAGGCAGCTATATGAGATTCACAAAGCTTTGCCTCTTGGGCCTTAGACATAGTAGTCCCGAAATGTTCAATGAAACTGTTTGGTGATGTTTATAATTTATAGTGCAACTAAAACACATAAAAATGATGACGTTGGGGGGTGCTTTATGTCTTTGGGTTTACCACATTTGTATACATTAGATTACATTAGTTATTTTCGGATTCCAGTGCTTCAATTTCAAGGTTGCAATGGGTGGTTGCAATATCTACCCGTTTGTGCAAGTCAAGTTTTCAGGGACATCGGGCTGTGGTAGGTCACGGCGCAGTCCCCCCACGGCGCAGTCCCCCCGGAAATGTTTGATGGTATCCGAGAACAGAAATGTCTGCTCAAGAACCCTGCACACGCGGGACAAATCTAGGATGCATATTATTCAAGTAGTTTGTGACACATCCTCCTCCTCCTCATCATCCTCATCCTCACCATCATCCATCTATTCCTCTAGTACTAGTACCATAATTTTTCATAAAATGGTTGCTGCTATCCCCATCACATCCCCAAAATTTCCCCAACATATCACAGGGAATGTACCAACTCTCCCACAGGTGACTGCTTCATTTGGGTGGCGGGTAGAATGCCCATGAATATATTCTCCTGCAAACATGTCCATACCATGAATATGTTCAACCAACCATGAAACTATAGGTAATATTTCCAGGCTTTTACGAGTGTCCCCGTGTGTAATCTCATGTTTTCCCCATAAGGCGTTTTCCACTTTTTTGGCTGTGTTTTCCGAATGGGTTTCCCCCACCGTCATAGCCCGTAACAGTTTTAACTGGCTTATGACCTCATTGCTGTTTTTCCACCAACCAGTTGCAGGAGTTATTTCATCCCATGGCCATAACTGGCTTATAGGGCCATAACTGCAGGGGAACCCACTCTGAATCCAGTTTTGAGGTGCAAACTATTGGCTGGGCTGGTCCAAAGCGGTGGACCGCTGGTCTCGCTTCTGGCTGCCGCACCTTGCACCAGATTTTGAGGAAACTCCTGGAGAAATGGTGGATTTCAACGGGAATTCACATTGAGTTATGTAATGGTGATTGGATGGGACTTAACATGTGATGATATAATAGCATAACAAGTAAAGAAATAATGACATCACATATGCAATGATAAAAACAGCAAAGGTCAGATACCATGTATACATATATCATATAACTTTTATATATATAAATACATTATATATAGAGTTGTATATATATATATATGTATGCATGTATGTATGTATGTATGTATGTATGTAATGTAATGTATGTATGTATGTATGTATGTATGTATGTATGTATGTATGTATGTATGTATGTATGTATGTATGTATGTATGTATGTATGGTATGTATGGTATGTATGGTATGTATGGTATGTATGTATGTTATGGTATGTATGGTATGTATGGTATGTTGGTATGTATGGTATTATGTATGGTATGTATGGTATGTAGGTATGTATGGTATGTATGTATGTATGGTAATATGGTATGTTAGTATGTATTGTTATGTCATGTTATGTATGTTATGTATGTTATGTATGTTATGTATGTTATGGTATGTATGTGATGGTATGTATGTTATGTATGTTATGTATGTTATGTGTTATGTATGTTATGTATGTTATGTATGTTATGTATGTTATGTATGTTATGTATGTTATGTATTTATGCATGTTATGCATGTTATGCATGTTATGCATGTTATGCATGTGCATGTTTGCATGTTATGCATGTTATGCACGTATGCGGTTATGCAGGTTATGTTAGGTTATGTATGTTATGTATGTGTATGTTATGTATGTTATGTATGTTATGTATGTTATGTATGTTATGTATGTTATGTATGTTATGTATGTTATGTATGATGTATGTTATGTATGTTATGTATGTTATGTATGTTATGTTATGTGTGTTATGTATGTTATGTATGTTATGTATGTTATGTATGTTATGTATGTTATGTATGTTATGTATGTTATGTATGTTATGTATGTTATGTATTTTATGTATGTTATGTATGTTATGTATGTTATGTATGTTATGTATGTTATGTATGTTATGTATGTTATGTATGTTATGTATGTTATGTATGTTATGTATGTAATGTATGTAATGTAATGTAATGTAATGTAATGTAATGTAATGTAATGTATGTATGTATGTATGTATGTATTAATGTATTAATGTAATGTAATGTAATGTAATGTAATGTAATGTAATGTAAGTATGTATGTATGTATGTATGTCAAACACAATCTAATGCAAGGTATGATTTTTCATACCCTCCGATAATCAAACGTGGCGGGCTGGAACGCCCACCTTGTTTTGTTCGATGATTCCCAGCTGTTCGTGGCTCGCCATGGCATTTCAGGATCTGGTGGGATAGCTATTGATTAAAATCAACATGAAAACAACAGATTTAAACACATTGCTATTAATTCAGCCATAAATTGTTGAATAATAATTGTATAATATCCCAACAGTGGATGTTCAATAATTCAGCTATGATTAAATTATCAAACTAAGTGGACAATTTTCCATAGCTATGTTAGATTGCCAGAGGGTATCATTGTGAATCATTCCCATTTGCTTAATTTCAATGGCTAAATTTCAGCATATAGCCTTGCATCCCTATGATTGATGGTTAAATCCCATAGAATCACTCTAGTTTGATAAAAGCGGAAAAAATCACCTTGCTGTGGTACACCCAACGGTGCTGGTGACTGTACAAACCGTGGCGGTGGTTTTTTTTCAGGAGTTCCAGGGTCGGGTTCCCAGAGCCCAAGGGTTCAAAATGCAATGGGTTTTGGAACATGCCTTATATAAATAGCGATTTTCGCCCATAAACTCATGCTATTTTGGGACGCCTTGGGGGTTATGATGTTATTCTCCATGCTATTCCCCAGATTGAGATCCATTTGGAGCTGCTGAGGCTATGTTTCACCATTGCTTTGGGGATCCTCTTCAACCTGGAGCTTGTTGATGAAACTTGGTTATCAGGGCTGATGAGGCTAGCAGAAAAAATGCTCAATCATGGTCAACAATTTTGTTTGGTGGGTCATCATCTAAAGACCCAAGGAATCCCAAAGCGATGGTTTCAAAGAGTCAAGATTTCTTTCTAGTGGGACCGTATTTGCAATCTCTGTTTGTGATTATGTATGGCTAGGCTAGGAGAGTAACACATAAGTCAACCACAAAAACCCAGGTTTGCCCACGGTAAAATGACAGGAAAACTTTCTTGTTTCTGGTTTCCTTTCAATATACAGATATATGGATATATACGGACTGTTTGCTCTTAATTCTCTAAAAGTCCAAACAACATGCAGAAGATTTGCCCTTTTTATCTATATATATATAATAATCATATTCTTCAAGTCAAGCGAGTTATTTCTTCGTGGGCGCGGGCCCAAGATGGAAAGACGACGTCCGGGCTGCTGTAAACATTAGTTACAATACGTTTAGTTTGCAATTAAATGTTTGCTATACAGAGGTAATAAATTAGATATTGATGATGTTTTGTTATATTTATATGTGCAATATAGTGCGTCCCGACAGGCGAAGATGATGTCGCTGTATATTTGCACATGAATACACAATGCATACATTTCGATTATATCATCTGTAGAAATATGAAAGGGACGACGATGGAGAGAAAGAGAGAGAGAGAGAGAGAAATACAATGAAATACATCCACAATATAATCACACACACACGTATATCATACATTATACATATGGAAGCCATGTAAGCACATGTTGACATGTATATTGATATATGTATGTATATACAACATATCATACCCGGAATGCATTTGCCATGTTTTAGATTGTCTAAAGTTGGAAGTGTTTGTATATATATATATATGCATATATATACATATGTGTGTGTGCGTGTGTGCCGACGCTAAACACATATACATTGTATGTTCCTTTTTGTATGAGTATAACACACACACACATATATATATACACATGAATACATATATATATATGCATACTACGCATATATTCATATATGTGTGTATGTTTGTGTGCATGTGAATGGTATCCATCAATGCATATAGAGATAGTCTTATATACATTCCAGGACCCCGGTATTTGCGCCTAGGGACCTGCAGCAAGACTAGGGATTGAACTGATAGAATTCAGTTTCTACCCTGGATGGGCAGGGATTTATTCTTCTCAAATGGAGGCTTAACAAACAAAACATGGGAATGTTCAGCAATATTATATAGGGAAACCAACTGGTCATGTATAGTTTTATGCAACTCAATGATGTGCTGGGATATGTACTCTCCATTGCAAGGTGCCTAGCCCATGATTTTGGTGACCTGACCCTGGCCCTGGACAAAGTTCGGCCGAGGACTATGCGGGGAGTGCTGAAGCGGAAATGTTTCAGGGTTTTGGTCCTTCCTACATGAGCGTCGCTGGTGTTGCTCGGCAGAGGATGGCAATTGCTGTTGAAGAGTCGTGTTTTCTTTTATGGGAAATCCTCGAACTTCATGGGGGTTTATAGATGGGAAGCAAAATATCTATAAATGGGGAATTTCCGTCAGCCATGTTTGATTGTTCGTGGTTGATCTCCGTTTTTGCCGATGGTTCATACTCCAACCAGGGGATATTACCCCATATTACCCGGCCACGCCTCCAGTTTCGGTCCCTGAAGTGGCCTGCCATGGAACAGGAACTGATTGGGTGCGGATCAACATTTATTACAGGACCCCTCAGTAAATGAACATAGGCCCTGAACATGGTTATATAGTAGTTTACTGGAAGCTAATCTTCCAAGCCCCTTTTGGCACTGTTGATTCACTGGAGGGTGCCCCTAAAATTGAATAGTTGATATCCAAGAACATCAATTATAAACCGGCATTTGCGGCCCCCTGGGTCTGAGATTTTGACTAATTAGTACCCAGCATTCTTACTTGGGCCTTTTAAAACTGCTGCGAGGAGTGTCCTCAAAAGGAATCAGCGCTGAATAGATGAAAATAGACTTGGCAACCTACTTTTTTTTAGCATGCGAGAGGGGTTTTCTATGGTTTTCTTAGAATGGATGCCTGTGTCAACGCATCCAAATCCCAAAATTAATGGCTTGAACAGTTGAGAAAAAAATGATCCCGCCCGCCCCGATTCGATTCGCCAATTTTTGGGGCTCCAACATGAATAGATCCAGTACTACAGGCTTTACGTTTGAAGGTATTTTCAATGTTAGCAGGATGGGATTACGTTTGAAACACCAAACAGCATGACTTCTCGGTCCATATTTTAGGATGCCAGGAAAAGTGGCTGGAACCCATAGTAGTAACAGTGACAGCCCCCAAGCAGTTGAAGTCCAAATTATATCAAGGTAGACATAAACTAATCCCACAATATCATGTTCACACATAGATGATGTTGCACACTACTTTTTGCATGAACATTGCATGTTTCGGGCCATACATGTCAATTTTGAGAGAACGCTACTGATTAAATGCCTTGGTCAGACTTGGTCACGGTCAGTGCCGTATTTGTTTACATATTTTGGTAATCATGGTTGGTTGGAAAAAAACATAAAGCGGCTCCATGATGTTGATGTTCACAGTTTTGTACTATGAAATAAGAAAAATGGTGGCCAACGTGTTTACATTTTACATGATGCGGAAATTTCTGGGAACACTGCCAAGAATTCCTGAGTTGCTTATCAACACTGCCCATATCCCCATCGAAACAACGGTTTGTTCTGATGGTGGCAGTGTTGACACCTGGTCAATGGGAATTTCAGGATCCTAAAATGGAGGTACTGTACCATATATAAGACCAAATTTTGTGGGGATATTTCCTTACATAGGCCTCAAACATAGGCCTTATAAAAAAGGTACCCCTCGGTACCTCCTCCAATGAATTGGTTCCTGAGTCATGGCCATTGACCTGGGTAGTTGAACAATGACAATCTGCTCAGTTCCTGGAAGTCCCTGTCACCTAGAACTCCAAAATCGCGAGGAACTGTCGCACAATTTTGCCTTGGTATGTTTCTTCCCCTGGCTAGTTGAATCAATTTCATTCAATTTCACAATGCCAATCACAATACCTGGGTAGCTCAGGTATTCCGATCCCTCATCATGCCCTTCTTTGCAGTGATTTGCATTTGCGCTTGGTTTTATATGCGAAAGCAAGCACGGCGCCTCGCCGCCTCGCCTCTCTCAGCGACCTCGGAAAGGCAGACAAGTTATCCCAGTTTGCATTTATGTTTGGTTTAAATAACATACATATAAATATAGATAAAATAAATATACATAAATATAGATAGATTTAGATAACTAATATATATATATATATATACATACTTTATGTTTTTATATATTTATATATATATATTTCTATACATACATATTTGCGTATATATTGAATTTCTTATGTACCGTAGATAATATAAAAATGAGTGTAAATGATCAATACACGATAATGATGTGAGGAGATTGCAGCTTGTTGTTTTTCCTTGCTTGTGGGGACACCTTTTCTCCTTGGAATGTCGTTTGATGTAGCTATTGAAGATGGTCCAATTATATCCTTTATAGATGATTTACCTATCAAACAAAGCCATTTTACATATAGTTATGTTCAATTCTGTTCAATTACCACAGGGTACCTTGTTGGTTCTTTTTGGCGGCTCAAATCCCACCATAGATGATGTGTTGTTTTCAGTGCTTGACATGTCCAAACCAGGGGAAGGAGCTGTGTACAAGAATGTAAACACAAACATATATAATGTATAGTTATATATGTATATAGATTTACACATACTCACACATACATTTATACACATGACTATGTATATATATATATATATATACATATTTGGTTCAACCCTGGTTCTATATACATATATATATATATATATATATATATGCAATGGACACAGGTGGATACATATGGTACACTAGCAACTGATACATAGAATAAGGTGTGTCAATGATAGATCTGGGATTTAATCCACTGCCAGAGCAGATTACATGTTGAACTTGCAGGTCAGGGATCCTCACTTGGCCATGTTGCAGCCCTCACCTTGTGTCAATGGAGCTCTGGGGTGCCTGGCTATACCTGACTAACATTGACTAACTGTTTAACTTGGAAGAATTGTGCAATATAAATGACTGTTAAACAATATCTATATACAGTAACTATACCTAACTATACCACTATACATGACCATATCTTGTGGTTTCAATGACTTATTTTTTTTCATGTTCAACCATTATTCTGGACGATATTCCCCAATGACTAGTACTTTTCTGGGGCCTGAAACCACCAGGCAGATGCATTTTGGGGAGCATGTCCATGTACAAATGCCGGAAACGTTTTTGCGACCATACAATAGCCGAATCCAATCATGCTACCCTTTGATAGTCTGTATTAGTCTATATAACCGTCTAACCTGGAAACGGGAAATCTCCACTGATGGGTTTGATTGAAAATAGGCTACCAGTCATCATTTTCCCTATCACTTGCTGGCTTTTGGGGTGGTGTTTATGCGTTTTTCAGTCACACATTTGTTTTTTGGTATTATCATTAAATAAAGAAATTCATCCAACCCCCGAATATTTTTCAGACCACCATGCCATGGTCCCAAATATGTGGTTGCCATTGGTTGCCATCCACATCCGGCTCGCTCCTTAGGAAGCCCAAGATCGTGAGGGAAGTGGCCCCCGAACCAGACATGAAGCCCATCGTGCCACGCCCGGAGCCTCGGAAATTCTCTGGAAGTCCGGCGCTGCGCCGGGAACATTTCGCAAAATTCAACCAGTCTTTTGGAAGATTTGGGACAAAAAATTGGGTTTCAAAGTAAAGTGCCAACTAACATTCGAGTTGTCTATTTAAACAAGATGCAGCCCACGAACCCGAATGCTCACACGTATGTTAATGGCGCAGATGTCAAAACACATGGATATGCAATCACGCAGAACACTTTTCTGCAATAGTTTATTTGAACAGTCTTGTACATATTTCCCCTGTTACCAGTCTGCAGTGTGGGGTGTGGAGTGTAGCGTGTGGAGTGTAAAGTGTAGAGTGTGGAGTGTAAAGTGTGGAGTGTGGAGTGTAAAGTGTAGAGTGCGGGGAGTGTGGGGTGGAAAGTGTAGAGTGGAGTGTGGAGTGTGGAGTGTAAAGTGAGGAGTGCGGAGTGTAAAGTGTGGAGTGTGGAGTGAGGAGTGTAAATTGTAGAGTGTGGGGTGTGGAGCGTAGAGTGTAAAGTGTAGGGTGTAAAGTGTAGAGTGTGGAGTGTAAAGTGTAGAGTGTGGAGTGTAAAGTGAGGAGTGTGGAGTGTAAAGTGTAGAGTGTGGAGTGTGGGGTGGAAAGCGTAGAGAGTGGAGTGTGGAGTGTAAAGTGAGGAGTGCGGAGTGTAAAGTGTGGAGTGTGGAGTGTAAAGTGTAGAGTGTGGAGTGTGGAGTGTAAAGTGTGGAGTGTAAATTGTAGAGTGTGGAGTGTGGGGTGGAAAGTGTAGTGTGGAGTGTGGGGTGTGGAGTGTAAAGTGAGGAGTGAGGAGTGCGGAGTGTAAAGTGTGGAGTGTGGAGTGCGGAGTGTAAGTGTGGAGTGCGGAGTGTAAAGTGTAGAGTGTGGAGTGTGGAGTGTAAAGTGAGGAGTGCGGAGTGTGGAGTGTAAAGTGTAGAGTGTGGAGTGTGGGGTGGAAAGTGTAGAGTGTGGAGTGTGGAGTGTGGAGTGTAAAGTCAGGAGTGCGGAGTGTAAAGTGTAAAGCGTGGAGTGTAAAGTGTGGAGTGCGGAGTGTAAAGTGTAGAGTGTGGAGTGTGGAGTGTAAAGTGAGGAGTGTGGAGTGTGGAATGGAAAGTGTGGAGTGAGGAGTCTGGAGTGTGTAAAGTGTAAAGTGTGGAATGTAGGGTGTAAAGTGTAGAGTGTAAAGTGTAGAGTGTGGAGTGTGGAGTGTAAAGTGTGAATTGTGGAGTGTGGAGTGTATAGTGTAGTGTGGAGTGTGGAGTGTGGAGTGTGAATGAGGGTGCACGGAGTTGTAAAGTGAGAAAGGTGTGAGCAGTGTGGCGTGTAAAGGAGGAACGTGTGGAGTGTAAAGTGCAAGGAGTGGGAGTGTAAACGTGTTTGCAGATTTGAAAGTAAGTTTGTGCTGTGGAGTGAAGGTGTAAAGGGTAACGTCTGGAAGTAGTGTCTAACATAAAATGGCAAGTGTGGAGTGTGGAGTGTAAAGTGAGGAGTGTGGAGTGGTAAAGTGAGCGTGTAGGAGTGTAAAGTGAAAAGTGTGGAGTGAGAGAGTGTAAAAAAAGTGTAAAGTCTGGAGGTAAAATGTCAAGTGTGGAGTGTGGAGTGTGAGTGTGTAAAGTTGTAGGAGTGTAACGGGTGAGAGTGGGGAGTGTGGAGTTGGAGTTAAAGTGTGGAGTAGTGTAGGTGTGTAAAGTGGAGAGTGTAAAGTGTAGAGTGGGGAGATGTGGCGTGTAGAGTGTTGGGGGAAGTGTGGAGTTGTAAAGTCTCGAGTGAGGAGTGAGGAGTGTAAAGTTGCAAAGCTTGTGGAGTGCTACAAGGTCAAAGTGGTGGAAGTGCTTAAAGAGTGTAGATTGTGGAGGTAAAGTGTAGAGTGTGGAGTTGCGGGGAGCTTCCCCCATAGACACGGCGAAGCCACAGGAAAACCAGAGACTCGAGACGAGACACGTGGGTGCAGGAAAAACGAGCATTTCGTGCGAGACTTCCTCCAATTTTGACATTTTCGACACGTTATCAAACAGGTTGGAATGTCACAAAGTGCCACGCCTGCCACGCAAAACGACATAACAACCTGCTTGGAAACCTTCGAAAAGGAGAGGTTTTGCAGCTTCCCCCATAGACACGGCGACGCCACAGGAAAACCAGAGACTCGAGACAAGACACGTAGGAACATCAAAACCAGCATTTCGTGCGAGACTTCCTCCAATTTTCACAGTTGGCAACATGACAAAAGGAGAAGTTTTGCAGCTTCCCCCATAGACACGGCGAGGCCACGGGAAAACCAGAGACGCGAGACGAGACACATGGGAGCAACACAACGAGCATTTCGTACGAGACTTCCTCCAATTTTCACACTTTGTAGCTTCAAAATCGACGTTTTCCTACGAGTTTTCCTTAGAACCTGAAAATTTGCAACCTCAAAATCGATGTTTCGTGCGAGGCTTCCGTCAATTTTCAGCACATGTCAGAAAATGCCACGCCTGCCACGGAATTTGCACCTTGCCGCCACTTGACGCAGCCCTGCCAATGCGATTTACAAAAAACACGCAACAGGACACGTCTAAAGTGCTGCGCCTGCCACGAAAAATGACGATGGACACGTCCAAAGTGCTGCGCCTGCCACGAAAACTGCAACATATCTTCTGAAAACGTCACAAAAGTATTGCGCATGCCACGCCAAACGACTTTCGCCACGTTGCAGAACACGTCTGAATGTCACGAAGTGCCACGCCTGCCACGCGAAACGAAGCAACGACACGTCTGAAAACTCCAAAAATGACCACCTCTGCAGAACTTCCCATAGGCACGGCCATATGGACCTACCGCGGACGGTTGCGGACGGTTGCGGACGGTTGGGCAACGTCGAGCGAACACACCCTCAACCCCCAGACCCCCAGAGTGAAACGGGAACCCTTGCTACGCATTCGGGAAAAAACAACTTTAAATCTGCACTAGCATGAGTTGTCTATTAAAAAAACAATAAATCTGGACTTAGGGCTTAGGGCTGGATCTCTTCATCTTAGTCCCCGTTAAATAACGGTTGTGCACTGCGGTGCTGGCACCGGCAGCAGGTTGGTCTGTACGACAAAATCCTGTGGATATGGATGCAGTGGACTCCGAATGAGGTGCCGCGCTTTTCGAGGGCGTTTTTTCGGATGGTAAAAACCATCCCAAAATGGTAGGTTTATGATTGCGTTGCATTACCCCAATTTAATTCCAATTTATAGCAAAATTTGTGCTGTAAATTGAGGAAGATTCGATTAGCCATCAAAATTGGGGGCTACCCTATATTCTGTGGACAAAACGCAGTGCTGATGTGCCTTTTTGTTGGTAAACCAACTTGGATGGGTAGGTATTTAGTACTGCGTTTTTGACAAACATGATATGAGCCAGATTCTTTATGTTGGCAGGGTATGTAAGATTGGCAATGTGATTGAGTTCAAAACAGTTTCAGAATAATTTCAGAACTATTTATGATGGTGATCAAGAATATATGCTTTCAGTGACGACTTTTTGATACTTTTGATATGTGTTTTTCAAAGTGGATCCTGGAAACGAGGCCTTCGATCTGCCGTTTAAAAGGTGTGAAGTGTCGAAGGTTTTACTGGTTTTGTTTGTTTTAAATTTGAGGGGATCTAAAGTAGTTTTGTTTACACTTTAGTGTTTTTTTTTTTGTGGCTTTAGTGGTTCTACTGTAAAGATTTATTTTGGGGATCTTAAGGTTCAAATGCCCATCTATACAATTCCTAACTTCCCCAATGATTCATTTGAAGTGAAGAGGTGGTTAACCAACAACAGCTAAGTTTTCATGTGGGAAACTAAGGATCACTTGTTTGCCTAAATGTCATTGCCTTATTCTTTTCGGAAGGGTTGAGGCCGGAAGGTCCATGATGCCAGGTCAATCCCATCCTGATATGAAAAAACACCCCCCATGAACCATTGTGAAAAACAAGGGGTGAACCATGGATTTACACATGTAAAAGGGACCATAGAATGGGGGTGATTAAAATGAATGGGGGATGGAATTCATGATTCATGTGGTAAATCCAATGTCAAAAATTATCCCAAAGTCGTCATCATTTCGATGAGTGCCATGTTTACCATTCCCAGTCATGGATAGTCATGGTATGTTTATGGCACTTTGGGTTGCCCAGTTGCCCACATGATTTCATTATATTTCATTAATGGCCTTCAATAACCATTCTAAACCACTATTAACATCTATTAACCATGATTCGTCCATTCATAACCATTATCATTAAACCATTAATGGTTATGAAGGTCACAGAATTCAACCATTCGACCATGACATTCAACCATGACATTCTCCCCGTTGAAGGTCACAGAACCATTAACTCGTTTCAAGGGATCAAAGTTCTCCTCGCCAGCTGGGCGATCATCGAAATTGGGACACACATCCGAAAAAGAAAAACAAACAGATTGGCTACATCTTTTAGTAATCCCCAAAAAGCAGCTAAGACAATATAGAAGTTGGTAGGCTCGGATCCCCAAATACATCTTATCTCACTTTATTTTTGTCGTAGATGGTCGTTACGTATATCGATCGGATCATGGGAATATCCATCTGCTGGGGCACATCCGACCAGGGTTGCGCCCAGGGTTGCGCCGCTGCCCTGTGGTTAATGTGATCCAAACTGGAGCGGAGGAACTGGGAAAATCTGAGGAACTGTCGTTGGTTGGAAATGGATAGAAATTGAAAGTCCTAAGGTTTGGGGTGAAACATGGGTCTACAACAATGCATGTTTAAGTTATTAATGAATTGTTTTTTATCACCAGCAACTACTTTGCTTATTAAATCTGATTCAACATATATATATATATATATCTAATAATAGTAATAATAATAATAATATATATATATATATATACATGTGTCATTCATAGGGGATGTCGGAATGCCTCAGATGAATGCGGTCGTTTTATTTTGTGAGATCACTTTCCTGACTCAGAGGTGGCCAAGAGCCTCCAGGCATCATAGGCAAGCTGTTGGTCCAGAATGCTGAGGAAGTCCTTGGAGCCACTGGATATGGGCCATCTGAATATGATGATATGTACATGATCTATAATCTATACCTATTTGTTTTGGTTCAGAATCAGTTGGAAGAAGCTGATGATATGTACATCTACTTATACTTATACTTGTTTCAGAATCAGTTTGCAGAAGCAACGTGGGTCCCCTGGCCTAGCCTACACTTCGCGTGACCGAAGACACCGGAAAATGGTGGTGAACGTAGACAGGGAAACATACCAGCCACATTGAACATCCTGAATCATGCTGTGTTATTGCTATTTGCCTACAGAGACTCTCAATAAGACTCGACGCAACTGGAAATCAGCACCCTGATGTTTCTGTATATATGCCAATTGCTGCAACATCAAAAGTGACCAGCATTGATTGGACCTATCATATGGACCTACTGTATGCTGTATGACGTGTGTGAATTTGCTGTGCTTTCTGGTGCGGTACCCACACCTGCAATCCCAGACTTCCTCCGCCGGTCGATGAAGATCAAAAGAAACATAGTCTCCCGTCATGGCTTGAAGTCGGGACTTTTCCACTTGGCAGCTGCCGGTTTAGCCCAAGGGCCATGGAGAGTTTGACATGAAGGGTTGGGTACAAAACAGACAGAGGTTGCTTCAGAAAGGAACAAGTCCTGCAAACACGGCATCAAAGATGCTGTGGAGTTCATTGCGTGCGGGTCAAAATGTGGGCGCAGCCCGGCCTCATGTCTCAGACACTGATTGCTTTTTGCAGAGGGTGCGGTTTGTCTTTCTGTGGTTTTGTTCAATCTCATTTTCCTTAAAAAAGAATGCCCAGCAGAATGCTGTAGCTGAGAAGATCCAGGGTGTATCCATATATTGATCCCATGCTCACCCATTGACAAACACATTCTCATCATCCTCCAGGTCCCGTTGTTTCAACCGCCGGTTTGGGCTTTGACTGATTCGGAAGGTCCCCTTGAACAATGGATCAATTTTTACATAATCTATCACCTGAACTAGTTGAAGTTGCTTATCTGGAGTTACAACATATGATAATATTTTTTCATGTATATGTATATATGAATATGCTTAACTGCTTAACTATAATATAGGTATAACATTGGTATAACTGTGCTACTTGCTTATAAACCACTTGAAAAGTGTGTGCTCTGCATGTCGAGAGACGTGTCCTGTTTTTAGAAGATCCTGCGGTGAAGGTCCGGAAAGTGAGAAGATGTCAGTACTGAGAGGGAACGTACTGAGAGATTCGACATACGCCTACCATGCGTAGGCAAACATGCCCAAGGCATGCCTCTGGAAACATCGTGATTTGATGTCATGAAGATATTCATATTCATCATCATCATCATCATCCTCATCCTCATCATCATCATCATCATCATCATGTTAATCATCATCATCATCATAATCATCATCATCATGATCATGATCATGATCATGATCATCATCATCATCATCATCGTCATCATCATCATCATGATCATCATCATCATCATCATCATCATCATCATGTTAATCATCATCATCATCATAATCATCATCATCATCATGATCATGATCCATGATCATCATCATCATGATCATCATCATCATCGTCATCATCATCATCATCATCATCATCATCATCATCATCATCATCATCATCATCATCATCATCATCATCATCCTCATCCTCATCATCATCATCATCATCATCATGTTAATCATCATCATCATCATAATCATCATCATCATGATCATGATCATGATCATGATCATCATCATCATCATCATCGTCATCATCATCATCATGATCATCATCATCATCATCATCATCATCATCATGTTAATCATCATCATCATCATAATCATCATCATCATCATGATCATGATCATGATCATGATCATCATCATCATGATCATCATCATCATCGTCATCATCATCATCATGATCATCATCATCATCATCATCATCATCATCATCATCATCATCATCATCATCATATATATATAAATATGTGTGTGTGTATTATCGCAACAATTTTAGCCTGTTTATTTTACATTGGGGATGTTGGATGTTGGTTTCCATTTTGATGGTATCTATTGGTATCTTCATTTCTGGGTTTGGTTCACAGTGCCTGGCTTTTGTGAGGAATCCTCGGCTGTCGGGAGAAACCTGATGGCAAGCAGCACTTGGCAGACGAGTGAGCCAGTTTTGTGAAGGTGTGCATAAGTCTAGGTAATTTATTAAGACCTCACTACGACCTCACTGGAATCCTGGTTAGTAAGGGGAATCATTCCCAAATAGCCTTATTTCAGGTTCACAGCTTCAAGGACAAGCACCTTAGAGGAAGACAGTCCTCCCTTCGCGCAGCTTGGGGGAGGGCTGATGAAAGTTCGTGGAGCCTTATTTCAGGTTAGTGAAATATTGGAATTTACTCAGATAGGTAAAGCGACTGGTGAATGGCGGGTTAACAGGAAGCTTTCTTCGAAGCGAAGGATCCTACGAATCACCCTTATCCCATGCCATGGCAGGTAGAAACCCCAAAGAGGATTTGACACGTTGCAAAACGTTGCTGACCCTTCGGAGAGGTCGTACTACTGGGTAACAAGAACTGAGGGTTGCTACATTTGCATACATTTGCACGACTTGGAAAATTCCGAGGCCGATACATCAGCAATATCAAAACGGTACCTTCGGATCATTTACCCAATTTTTTCCGCCATCTATTCAGGGAGCCCGGAGCTGTTCGAATCGGCGTTGGGGAGTAGTGACCTGTGCCAGGACCGAAGATATGAAGCAAAAACATGGCCATGTCCTCTGCTGATCTTAACCTGGGATTAAAAATCCTCTTGGCTGTTCCAGTACTAACTAGCACCAAGTACCTTGTTGGGCACATTTGGGCACTATGCACTATATCTATCCCAACCACGGTTGAAGGGGAAAAATCTTACTGGTGCTTAGCAGGGAATTTTCGGGAATGATCCCAGTCATCACTAGTAATAATCATCCCAGCAACCCCCAGCAACCCATCCATTCCCTACTAATCATAGAATTGGATGATGGGAAAATTTACAGGAAAACCCTATATTTGATGGTAAAAACCATGGTTTCCTGTAGATTTTCCCTTAAACCAATCCATTCCCTACTAAGCACCAGTAAGAAATGCAAAAAAAAAGTACCGGTCCTAGGTCTTGCTAGGACATCGGCCTTGCTGAATCTGTTTTCATCGTCCCTTTAGCCACCGATCTCTATCCATCAAGCGGCCGGCCCCGCCACTAATAAGTTGCTTTATATCCCCCGAATCTATATATATATATATATATGTACCTTGACCTTCCATACACTGCAAAAATGTAGGGTTTGACATAAAACACGAGGTTTCCAAAGGAAACACGAGGTTTCCAAATCGGACCATTTTCCCATCTCACCCCATTCCTGATCATTGCTGTTGCAACCGGTTCAAGTTGCAATAGCTTCTTGAATTTCATCAGAGCGTGGAGCCCAAGTGCAAGCAGCAGGGGGATGGTGACGGCTGAAAGCTTCAACTTGTTGGTTACAAGTAATAAATTGCCAATAGGATCCAAAAAAATCTTTGTAATATCTTAAGTTTGTATGATCCTACTTTTAACTCCCTTTCGCTCGAATTAAATATCCACACTGAACGTACTCCGCGTACACTGCCATCATGTGTCTATCTACCACCCTTTCCTCACAAGTATTGATATGGACGTGGCGACTAAGTCGTGAACCACGTCCAATATAATCTTCGTCCTGCTGGACACTGAGACATAAGGGATTTAGGCATTGGCCTTTGGCGGCTGCCCACCACATCCCTAAAAATATGTGGTGTAGTGCATGCGCTTTTGGCATGATGAGCCAATGTTTGAGACCCCTCCTGTGAGCATCACTGGCTAGAGAGGCATACCTCCGAAGAAAACGTAGCCCATGCTGAGCAGCCAACTTTGCACGTTGAGGTTCAATCCAGGCTTCTGAATTGTAGATAAGCCGAAAGCAAGTATTGATCGCAACAGCTGCCTGACCAGCACCCAGAAGCATAGGATCATGATCATCCCAGTTTTCCGAAGTAAACCGAGCCTCTACATACCGCATCAAGCTTGTCGTCAAGTCACCCTTGTGCCAGGTGGCAGTCGGATAACTCTGGTTCCAACTGAGATGTTCTTTTGTGATTCTTTGGCAATGGGCTTGAACATGGTTTGCACGGCACCACCCCACGTAGGAAGCCGAAAGAGACTCAAACCTTTGGTCCACAGTAGGTTGCGGTTCCAAAGCCGCCAACAGTGACAAAGCTGAACCCAGAAAATTTGTTCCCATTCCCAAATGAAAGCAGTGAAATAGATCGTAATGATACAAAGCTGGCAATTGGCCTTCTGTGTGTGGCACAATTTCAAATGGGCTTGGATCCGGGAAGGGTGTCTCCTGTAGAATAGAAGCTTCCCACAGCGGAGTCTTGCTGTTGATTTGCTCGTAGGGATAGTTCGGTTTGCCCGCAGAACACAGATGACAAATCCCTTTGCAGTCTCGTACTGCACCATTTTCAGGGCCTTTGTGTTTGAGAACATTCATGAAACTGCGGTCCAGACCACACTTTGCCAACCATGGCCAATCCCCTACAAGGCCAATGAAGCAACCCCACCACCTTTCGCCAGACTTCAACTGCAAGCCGCTGTTGGTCACAAAGAGAAGCTCTTCAGCTACAGTTTGTAAAAGCTCTTTGAAATTTCCAGCATTTTTTCCGGTGTAATTTTTTTTGGTCACTGCACTCACCAGGAACCTGTTCGTACAACTATGACCCAAAAAGTTGGGCAACATCTTCAGGTACCCTTTTTTTTGGCCAGCCTCCAAAGCACCCGCAACTCCTCTTCCCAGTGGTGAATGTAAATTCAGAATCAAAAATGGTTGCCTTTGTTTGCTTCTGCCTTCGTCGCCGTGTAGCAGTAATGGTACACAGCGTCGAAGGTTCACCTCTCCAGCCCTGACCCTTGCAAAAATTGGATGCTCTGGGTTCTGTTTTTCGTATCGTTCCCAAAAGGCCTGCCATATATCTCCTTCCCGCTGGTGATCAGGACGGACCAAACCAGCCAAAATGTGAGTGCAATTGTGCTGGATCAAGAATGATAGCCAGTCGCGGAAACGAAGAAATGGTATCCGAGATTTTGACCTGGTTTCCTTTTTGAGGTAATGCTTTCGAATGGGGATTGTTAACCCCAACCGTTTGGACATCAAACGGTTACAATCTCTTTCTGCATTCCCTTCATTCCTTTTGGCTAGATCCACAAGACCCCCAGACTTGGCTGCAAGTTCGGGGCCAACATCAGCCACGAAATTCTTGGCCGTCCGGATCGCTTCAGCACATGGGGCCTCGGCAACACAGCAGCAATCCAAAGGCGACAAACTGCAAAGAAGTGGGCCAAAGTAAGTTAGAAAACAATGAGGGAATTTGGATCTGGAAAGGTGTTTTTCGTGTATGTCAAGTATGGTCAGGCAGCTTCAAGCTATCAAAGTGCACAAACATGTATAAAGCCGAGCATGTCTGGAGCATGGCCAACCCTTTTTAAACCACTGCACTGCCAATTTGGCTTTGGTTCTGCTAGGGCAAGCCTAAGGTTCAACCTTTGTGGCTGGTTTGATTGGGGGTGGAACCCGGAAAGATCTGTACACGACATATGTCATATAGCGACTATCTTCATCACTCACCGGTTTGATCGTGTCTCCGCCAGCTTTGACATTTTTGCATCCAACTCTGCCTACAACTGTTTACCCAGGGAGTTGGAAAAAATATATATAGGCACATATAGGCACCTTCCTTTTTGACAACCCGTAAAAACTTCAAAAACAGTTTAAAGGGTGACAAGAAAATTATGTTGTTTCATTCAGAGGTACTGCCAAACTTCTCGATAAGTGCAGCTTCCAGCATAGCTGGCCCAAAGGGCTCTTTGGAATAGTACAAGACAATCATATGGGTCCACTTGTTGCGGTCCAAATCCAAAGTATAACCATACACAGGGCTAGTCCATCTCGAGACTGGGTCATGGGTGAAACCTATCTTGAAGATCAACGGCTCTTCTTTCTTGAACAGAGAAGTCAAAACCTTTATAGCATGGAAAAGAACTGCTCCAGCCGATGCATTGACGCGGCATAGGTTCAAATAAATACATCCTACTCCATCACACTCAGCGGCTAGAAGTTGAAGTCGAGGTGACCATTGCGTTGCGTATAGTGACTGTTTTTCATTGGTTGCCTTAAGCTTCTTGGGTTCAGGTTCACTCACAATCAATCCAGACCCGCTTCCATTGGACGATGTTGGCCCCCTGTTCCACGGGAATGGCAAAATATCATCCTTGGAATCTACAAGAAAAGACATTTAAAATAATATAAAAATTGGAATTCAGTATTGGCTTAGACACCTTTGGACCATCCCCAAACCACAAGAAAAAAACAAGACAACATTGTGAAGACATGTAGGGTCAAGGGTCCGATCGATGACATGTGAAAAGGTCATGTAGCTCTTCATCTGTAGTTTCACCATGATCCAGTTGAGGCATCGTAAGGATGGGGGTCCAATTGTCTTGAGACAAATGCCAACAGGTCCAACATATAAACTGTATTTGACCATGCTTGATTCACGGTCCATGTGTGGATCCCCTGCCACTTCTGAGGCGATGACTCCCTGGCCAATGGATGCGCTCATCCTTTGAAGGACTCTTCCAGGTCTGACACCTGGCATGCCGAGGGCTATGGATCGATTAGGATTTGGGGCCAAGCCCCAGGGGTTAAGCATGGGAGAATATCTATAATATATCACAGGGAAAACAAATGATTTGAATGAACTTGAAGAATCATTCAGCTGTGCTGTTCTTTTTTTGATTTTTGGATACATACTGTAATGGCTTACCACTTCCCACACTGATGCTCACTGATGGTGAATCCTTTTTTCCCCTTCGCTGTTTCCACAAGTGCAGTCTACCATCCAACTGCTTTAATTTGCATGGAAATTGAAATTGGCCAGACTCCTTTTTGGTTAAGGGCCCCAATCTGGCAAACACCAAAGCGTGTCTTCCAAGTGCCGCACACACACACACACACCAGGTCTTGACAAAGCATTGTGTTTGGGCTAATATCTTTCCTACAAAGAAAAGTTATGGAACTTTGAAACCAAATATATTTTTCACTCAGCCTTGTGCCAGACTTCTAAGTGAGCGTGTGGAAGGCAAAATGCCTGAAACAGAAATCTACTTGTTTTTCTTCTCCTTCTTTGTCTTCTTAGACTTATCCTTGGGTTTTTTGTTTGATTCCTCCTTCTTGGTTTTACTGCTCTCCTTCTTGGGTTCCGAGTGCGTTTCCTCAGGATCGGTCTTCTTGTCATAGTACTTCTTGGCAGTCCTGCACAGCGAAGGAGGTGGGTCTGATTGTGACAAGGGGAAATAAATATACACCCAGCATGGTGGTAGACAGCTTTGAATGACGATATGTGTCGATATAATATTTTGGTATGACTGGGGGATAAAGTGTCACTGGCAAATACTAGGCAGAACACCGATCTGTCCTGACTTTGTTTTCGCAAGCTATGGCCTTTGAGCACCTTGGGGGGGGCACAAACTGGTTAACATATTTAAGCGCTGATCCATAAATTATGATGCAATCTTGTCATGAACAAGGGTGTTCGCTCAAATGATTTGAGAAGAATATATGTTTGAAAAGGATGGGGACTGAGTAGAAGACACCAATGTGGCATCACCCATCCTCTTTTCCGCTAGATTCCACCACCTTGGATGGACAGATTCCCGGGAAATGATGTTACCAACATTCCAACACTATGATTGAGGAAAATTACCTTTTGACACGCATGTATATTTGGAACCATGGGTCTTCTCTGTCATGAACTTCTCCACTTCACCGGTCGCCCATGCTTCATGACACAGGTCATACTGCGAATCCATTGCCTTGATGTGGCTCTCCAGCGAACGAATGCACCTCGGATTCAGCATTGGATGGGGCTGGCAACTTTGGGAGGAAGGGCGAGGATGAACCCTAGAGTTCACTTAAAGAGGTTAGCTCATGTTAGCTCAACATATATGTGAAAACAGTTTATAGTTGATCCACCCATTTTCTGGAACCAATGGCAAGATACTCACCAGCAGACTCATCAGTGTAGCCTTTCTTCAGCTCCCGAGCAAGAGAACGCAATTTGCCACATTTAGATGTCATGTTGGTCAATAATTTCTGCAGGGCTTCTTTGGTCTAGCAGGGGCGGCCACAAAGTAAAACCCTGGATAGCAATGTATGATGTAAATTGAACTTATTAATATATACATATATATATATTAAAAACAAAATATATGTACACCAAATTGACTCTCCATGGTAAACTTGATAGAATGCTATGTTTGGTGTCCTGGGCATATTTGCTGATGACCGGGAGCTGGGATTGCTTATCCTTTTCAGCGACCTCCCTTTTCTCACGAGCTTCAAGCTCTGTGAAATCATCACCAAGATCCGACTTCGGAATGTCGTCCACCTGAATCCCAAGGGAAGGAGATGATATGATGTTGGCAAGGGCCAGCCAAAAATGAATTTGATGTGTACTTACAATATCAAGCTTTACTATCAACACAGATGTAGAACTGTCAGACTTGAACTTGAAAGCCTTCTGTCGTTTGGTATGCTCTTCCTCGTACGAAGATTCTTCAGTCCTCTTGGCGGATTCCTTCACAACGACCCAGTACTCCATTTCACCATCGTAGCTGTTGCGCCTGCGGGAAATATTTGTTCAAAGTCATGTGTGGTAAACCCCTGTGAAACAAAAACAATAGTATTCAATAGTACATACACGCAGACTCTGTTTGAAAAACCCTCAAAATTTGAGCAAGCTTCCGGGAGTGGCTAGCCCCCAGGGCAATGCAACGATTCTTTGCTCCTTCTATCTTGTTCCTTATGAGGTGGACGCTGTTGGAAACATCCGAACAAGCATTGAAGACATGCACAAGGTCAGAGGAAATATTTACTCCAAACAACTAGACAAGTAAAATACAGTATACTCTTGAAAGAAAAATCTAAGTATATGGCTTCGACCAACCGAGCTCTTCAAGTTCACCCTCGCTATACCAGCCCTCGTCAATGACGAGCTGATAGGTCTTTTTACGCTTCACAATCACCAAAACCTGACTGAAAAATTCGTCCTGGAAGGGCTGCCGGATTGAAGGCAACATTATTAGGGATATGATAGTATAGAATCAAAAAAATTGAACAACTGAACATGTTCAGAATGCATTGTTGATCTAACCCTGAACTGTCCTTCTGCCAATTTACCTGTTCAAGAAGCGCCGCCATTGCGTTTTTGTCACCATTTTTCCACTCATCCATCACATATTGCGGTGCAATCAAGTCCTTTCTCCTCTGCTTAGGTGCACACATGCGGTCGATACGAGCCTTCGAAGCTCGTCGCAAGTTGAACTGCAGGGCCATAGGGGCAGGAATTGGCAGGTTGGATGATAAAATGTGGATGCATATATTTTGTAAATATACAAATATATATAATCTATATACAGTAAATATATATATATAATACATTAGTGGGAACTATATAAATTATATTATATATTATATATTAATGGGATCTATACCAAATATCAGCCCTTGCCAAACCCTAAAATGTTTCGCTGGTGTTGGAACATATGTTCAACCTGTCCTGGCGCAAGGTCATCCCTTTGGGAATATAGGGCTTCCTCTTGGGTTGAAGAAATGGACTGGCAACTGTTGTAGAAGCCCCCTTGGAAGCTTCACCCATCTCAGACTGCTCGGCACTAGTGGTCTCACCAGATGGGCTTGGCTCAACTACTGAAGGTGTCGTAGGAATCTGTTGGTCCTTAAACGGTGCAGTGAAGTGACCCACAGAATCATGAGTCTAATCATGACGTAAAATTTAAAGTTTCAAGTTATCAAAGAATTACATGTTGCATGTGCCAAAAAATGTAAGGCCACAAGCCCCTGCAAACCAACATCCCTTTGTTGGTCGAAATAAATACATGTTCAAGATATTATATATATTATATATGTGTGTGTGTTGTTTTATTTATATATACTATTTTTTATAATATATATTAAAGATTAACTGCAACCCAAGAGCTTTGTTGTCACCATTTGTCGTTCCCAGTAGTTCTGCCAACTGACTCTCAGTCGCCTCGGGAATTGAATGGCAATCCATAATGTATAGAAAATTATTTTGAGTTTTGTTGGTATGATATCCCCTTATGCTGTTATTTCTTGATCATCTTTCAGCTATCCTTTCACAAAAGCAAATCAGCACCTGGCCGGCACTGTCTCAGGCAATTCCACTGGAGTAGATGGCACAACAATGGCGACCTGGGCGCCAAGATGGGTGTAAGCAACTGGGCAGCACAGGGAAAGAAGTTGGAAGCTTCAGGGTTCTTGGTTCTGTGGCATTCATGGATGAAATCAACTAAATTTTGAAGTATATTTTTAGTTTGATCTGAGGCAATGACATCCTTGCCATTCTCGTCTTGTAGCTTTTTATCTAACTCCTGCAAATACATGAACTCAGAATTTTGACCTGCCAATCTTTGGGAGTCTTGGCTGTTTTTCAAAGACATTTCATAACAAATGATACTTCCGATGTTCACCACATATCCTGGAAACAAAGATTTGCGTGTAAGAGTCCATTAGTCCACCAACATGATGCCTGCATAGTGATAGAAGTACAACATGATCATGGAGCATACCTTGAACATATGACATTTCTACTTGCTTTTGGGCAGCCAAAACAAAGAACTATAGAATTCCTGTATATATTAATAAGTTATTAAGGATGGTTCATGTCTTTGGTGAACTTCAACCATGGCCCATACCATCTGTGAAACAGAAGAGTAAAATTCAAGTAACGCAGCAAAGACATGAGTCCAGGTGTTCATATGGGTATATGTCTCAAAATTGGAGGGCCCCAAAGGTGTGTTTTCATGCCCCTTAAAAGACATTTTGGGGCCCCTTATACCCATATATGAGTTTGTGGGGTGACGAATTGATGCTCCTCCAGTTCCGAAAGTAAAGCCTTCTCTTCAGCATCCATGACATCGTTGGCCACATGTTCAATCCCATCACCCAAAGTGGTGCAACTCCACCTGTTTGACACACCTATGCAAGAAACCTGAGACATCCTGGTCCACTAAATAGGGACCCAGGCAGAGGAAGGAAAATGGCTGCATCATATATAGGCGGCAGGTTTTTGGTATAAGTTTCAATCTTGAGATCAAAGTGCTTCAAATTTGAATTCAAAATTGCAGTCCAAACTTCTAAAAGTCACACATGTTGCGTGTTTTTGCACTTCATGTCGGAAGCTTTCAGATTCGGTACGGGCATTCCCGCACACTTGAATTGCAAATAGCATTCTCGAAGTGAATTTTTTACCGCTCAGAGTGGGTGAATTTGAAAGGGTCCATCGGAAACCCCGAATATATTCTTCAAAAACATCATAGGCATAGTTATTCGGATGCTGGTTTTAACCCGTGTATTTTTCACGGGTTGTCACGGGAGAATCATGGGTCTGTCACGGGTTCGTCACGGGTTGGGGAAAACCAGGTTTTTTTCTGAAACCCAGGGTTTTAGTAGAATAATCATGGGTTGTCATGGATACGTCATGGGAGAATCATGGGTCTGTCATGGGTAAAATGATCTTGATTTTCGTACCTGTCTTTTTTTCGCTCTATATGTAATAATGTATGAAATCGGATTGGTAAATTAGTCTAAGGCATATCCCTGATCTGACCATATCTGACCTATTGGTGGTAAGGACTACAATTCTTCATTTTTGGGGTGGCCTATTATCATTCCCTTTCAGCTTGTAGCTCACTCTGGAAACATACCTGGAATGGAGCCACGCCATTCTGGTGGAATTTTGAGTTTGCGGTTGCCTCGCAAGTAGTTAAACACTTGGGACACCCTGGCAAAGGGATATGAACCAATCTGTTCATCACTGGGCCACTCGTTGAAACACTCCAGAGCCGCTGGGACTACATCCGGCAACTGAGGCATCCCCTTTGCCGTGCGTTTCATCTCCTCCAGAAGGTCCACCAGCGCCCGTGCAAACCGCATGGGATAGATCCTGGGTCATGGGATATAGATGGATATAGATGATATAGATAAACAGGATAAACCAGTGACCGTAGGGATGATGGTACAAGCCCCGGATAGGGTAGGAACAACAAGTTAATCAGTTAATCATCATAATCAGACACAGAATAAGCTATATATATATATAATATATATGTACAGTAATATGTATATGCATATATCAGATATCACAAACAATCAAAAACATTGTTTTGACATCCAGATCCAGTGTCTCTGTAGATCGAAGGTTCTTGTTTCCCTTGTAGCGTTTGGTGCCAGAACGGTCAACGTAAACATCAGCTGTTCTGATCCTTTGACTTCTGGGCGGACGTTGAGTGGCATAGAGTTTCCCTAAGTCCAACCGCATTACCACACCAGAGTTGCTGTAGCCATAATGACGCTTTGGTGTTTGGCTACCATAGTGACGCATCCACCATTTCACTTTGGCAACCTCGGCCCCCAGAAGGTTTGTTTAAATAGGAAAAGGGTTCCATCCTAATTGCAAAAGGGTTCCATCCTAATTGCACAACACACTAAAGTGGAAACATGTTTAAACTGTTGACTGTTTCTATTTCTGGTGACTGCGTAGATTCCACCAGTGCCAAAGATGTTGGCCATCATGTTTCGCCACACGGGATAAAATTCAAGGACACTGCCAAGTGGTTGTTCCACCGTCCACACACCCCCCAAGGCAGTGCACAATAGAATCAAAAGACAAGTCCTTCAGGGATGGGCTGCACCAAAACATGTTTTGTTTCTAAATTATGTCAACCCCAACTCGCTTACCATTCATAGGCTTTAACATAAAACATTGCTAGGTGGTGACCTCCACCATTGTATATGGTATAGTAACCCCAAAGGGAGACCTGACATTTCCATTACACACAAAGTCCTTTCAACGAGGATGTTGCTGATTTGAACTGAGAGGTATTCTGTATACCCGATGCTGCAGCATGCCCCACGTTTGCTCGTCCCTGCGTTCATCTGGCACAGGCTGGAACACTTGATTGCAAAGTGCGCTGCGAAGTCGCCAATGCGACAGCGCAAGAGGCACAATATGGCCAACCTGGGTTTTGGGGAAACTGGATCAGAATAAATATATTTGCAGGCTATCAAAACCATTCATAGCTTGACCAACTTTGGTAGGTTTGAAGGTTGGGCTCGGGACATAGAATCTAATTTTCAATTTCAATTTCAAAACCCAAACCATGTGAAGGGGTGCCAGTTCAAAAACATAACGCATTTTCTTATTTCCAACACATTCTGGTTCTTACTGTGCGCCATAATTAAGTCTGAAATAGTCTGAGAAACGCAAACCCTGACCGTGAAGTCAAATCCATAAAGTTGGACTTCCGGGTCTGGGGACGCTTGTTGTCTAAGATATCGAATCGGGCCACCTTATAGCCACATGCCCGTGCCTGAGAAGTTAAGTTGCCAACCCCAGCAAAGAATTCCAGGTAGTCAAACTCCTGTGGCATCAGGGAATCAACCCAGAAGTCAACCCAGGTAGAAAGAAGTGGCTTATATTTTTACAACTTGTTTAAGATAATATATATATAGGAAGTTTATCTGGAGTTTATGGGTAGTATGTGTATTCTCAGAGGGGCGACCACTCATGAAGAACCTAAATATATAAGATCGATCTGTCCTCGAAGATGGGGTAACTCCAGTACAGCAGAATGATAGAAGCCACAAAGTCCTGCCAAAGTGGCCACAAAGATTTAGAGGTGAGGAATACTAAATACCCAACTAAGTTGTGTACAGAGATATATGTTATTTTAGTACATCGCGTCTTAGCCTTTATTTGGTGGGGCCTGAGATCTGACATCATGTGTAAAGCGTCATATGGAATTCCTTTGGGTAAAGACAAGTTTGTTAGATTTCAGTTTTACATTGGGGGTCGTAGTGATCATTCCAGGCAACATGCTTTCAACAAGGCCAAGCCTAAAGAAATTGACGTGGGTGCAAACCATCCCCATGACATGTCCTGTGGGCAGTTCAATGCCCGAAGCCGCCAGACCAGCTCATTCAGATCCATCATGGTTCGGGAGGGGCGGCGACAGGAGTAAGGTTGAGAGAAAGATTTATTGAATTGTATTGATCCAGTTTGTGTGTTGTAGTGTCATGTGATGTCACGTGGTGTGCATTGAGACCTCGTATTTTTTAAGCACATATTTGAGATCTATATGCCATAACACACCTGGTTCATCAGAGCTTCATTGCTACGAAAAAAGTCAAAGAAACCATCTCTTTGCTCCCCCAACACATGTGGAACATTCTGAAAAAATAGTCCCAAGAATGAATATCAAATATATTCAAGGGAAATAGTTGGAATGTATGCTAGCACTCCAAAGCATGAGCAACAACCCTTCTGGAAACCATGCAGGGATGCACCTTTAGTCTTTGTCAAAGAAGACCGGGTTCGCCACAGGTTTCCTCTCCGGCTGGCCATACCATTTTGACCTCAGAGGAGAGCAGCTGCGGGATGGTTTTTTTTGCCATTGGAAATGGCAAGGGTGAAGTGGCAGGGGTCGCTAGCAAGGGTTGCCAAACTCAAGTTCAATTCTCTTAAGAAAACATGTATAGTAAGCCAGCGCATTGAAAGCGAGGGTGACATCTTTTTGCTGGTGCCAAGTTCCAAGCATTTCCAAGATTTTCCAAGCGTATAGGCTAAGAAGCCCATGCAAACTGCTTCTTTCTTTCTGAGCAGAGCTCTGCAAAACAATGTTTTCTATGATCCATATCAGATTCTTGGTAAACAGTTGGGTTTCAACAATTCATACATAAAATAGATATGATTTATATGCATTTAATATTTTCAGAGCCTTGCTTCCAAGATCGCAGCTCGCATCGACTAATGCTAGAGACCAAGTTCTTGGAGAAACACGCCAATTGGGTCCCCAAACAATATAAATAAAACACATGAATTTTGTTTTCATTAGGTACGTCCTGCAAGTATGTCCTAAAAAGTACTCAAACCATGGCCATCTATGACCCAAAGACTTTGCCCTCCAAAGCCCAGATCGTGATATATACAGCACACTTCTTCGAGCATACTGTATGCCCCAGTTGTTTGACAACCCATTCCCCATATATATGCGCACCAACAGTACACACAGCGCCATCATCCAGTGGTCAATGTTATCACTGACCCTGACGCACTAGCAAGAAGATTTGGAAACACGCTTCACAGCTTTTGCTGCAGCTACCTTCAAGGATTCCTTCATGGCCATGGCTGCATCATCCATGATCATTGCATCAGAACCTCGCGACTTTCTCGAAGCTTCATCGATGTACATTGCCTCAGTTTGAGCGAGCATGCATGAATGCCCGTAAAAGTGTGCGAAATACGTAGAAAAAAAATGTTGCGCACACACCTCCCACGCACAAAATACAACGTGACAAGTGCATGTGGTTCATTCGAGTTACCATCATTGAAGCAGCTTTCATCGAAGCAGCAAATCGGTACAGAAAGTCTCGAGCACAACCATCGACATGGAAGTAAACAACATCTTTCTGTTCAACGTACGAGTGAAGACCAAACGCAGGGCGCTTGTAGTAGCGATTGTACCTTGTTTCCTCCGCAACGTATTCCATTCCTTTGAGCTTGTCTCTGTCATCTGGAGTCAGAGCCTGAATTTTTTTGATGTTCAACCCTTCAAATTCTTTGATGAAGCTGGCGATCATGTTGACTTGGTCCCTTTCCTTTTTTGGAACCGGGTCTGAAAAAACCCCTTGCTCCACATCCTTCTCCTTCTTACGTTTCCTAGATGTGGTTTCCTTCTCCTCCTCCTCCTCCTGCGCCTGTCTTTTCTTTGACTTTGACTTTTCAGTCTTTGCACGGTCTTTGGTCTTGATCTGTTTTTTTCCATCCGTTGTCTCGGTCTCCTGGTTGTCATCTCCTGCATTGTCATCTGGGTTTGTTTTGTCCGTGGCTGGCTTGCTTCCTTTATGTTTTTTGAATGCAATGGCAAGCTGGTGGAGGGACACTTGGGCGTCAAGATTGGCAGCACGGTCAGCAGATCTCTTGGCATCGCAGCAATCCCATTTGTCCTCATCCCATTCAGCCCAAACCTCGCCCCACTTCCACTTTGCCCACTCTTCAGTCATCTCTTCATTCCATTCTGGGCCTGAGTCAGCAGTGTCCTTGCATTTCTTCTGTTTTCTCTTTGACGTTTTTCGCTGTTTCTCCTTAGGCTTACCTCCCATGTCAGTTCGTTCTTCCTCCTCAAGTTTCCCACAACCTCTTCCTCTACCCTTGCCCTTGCCCCGCCCTCTACCCCTTCCTCGGGATGATGGCTGCATCTCCAATTGCTCACGTCGCTTGACGTAGTCCGCCTGGACCCAGCGGAAACTCTGAGAACAGAACACGACAAGAATAAAGAAAGCCGTTTGATTTGTAGGCGAAAGGCCCAAGACCCCAAAAATATCAAAAATGATGTTCAAGTAAAACTAATGATTTAAAAGTAACGTATTTGCTATGTTGCTCATGTGCTCCACTTGGGTATCCCCAGCCTCTTGATCCGAATCAGTAAATGTCTCTTGCTCCTCAGCCTCCGTTGCCTTCTTGGCCTTTTTGGGCACGCTGCTCTCCGTGGTTCGTACCTTTCCTAAATCAGCAACTGCAGTGTCAGGTTTTTCTGTGTCTGCCTCAGAGGCTTCAGGTGTGAACTGAACAGTTGTGCTGAGGTCATTCTTACATCCCTGATACTGAGCCCGTCTTTGATCCGAATCCAAGTGGGGGGAATATGTTGGGACTGGTGCTTCGCTCGGAGTTGGCAGCTCCACCACATCTTGGGGCATGGTGTCCATGTTGTCTGTGCCGAAAGGAACACTTGGCTTCTCTCCTCCTAGCAGCAGCTGGCTGAAACTCAACATCGAACGTTTTCAACTTACCTGTAGGAAAGCTCTAATCCTTCACAAACACAAATATAGGCCAAGAAGTTTCCAAATTGTTTGATCTTGATGTAAAAGTAAGAAAAACAAAATATGTCGATTTTACTTTGAACACGGGTTTTGTTTTACCGTCACCATGCACTCTAGTAATGCTCCTTGCTGTGGTGTGGCTGGTGGTCTACGAGCCACAACGGGAGTGGTGGAAGCGGCTGCTTTCTTCTCACGGATCCTGGCTGACTTGTATTGTCAAACTATAACCTCACTTAAAAACAGAAGATGAACGTGGTGACAAAGAGAAAATGTGTTTCCCAACTGGGTTGTTGACATTACCTTTAAATATTTACAGTAGACGTAGAAACTTGCATCCAAGGCACGCTTGCAATTTTGCCAAAACCTCTGCGCGTCTTTTTGCTGCAATCTCCACATCACCTTTACATGCTGAATAAGGTGGGTAGCATGTCAATGTGCTAAGTGGTAAAGCATTACAACAAGACCAGTTCCTACATATGAAAGCACACGGAACCCCAAAGAACATTCTCTCGCACATATGTTCCCGAGAACTCGATTGACTGAATGTGAAAACCCAGGGCATGTGAAAAAGATTTCGGGAAAAAACACGATCTTGCCTGCTTTGCTACCATCATCTTGGCGAGATTTGTAAACGGCTTGCTCTGATGCTACCTTACCTGGGGATGCTGCTCGGGGTTCAGGTTCCGCAGGTTTTGCTGTCTGTTCAGGTTCCGCAGGTTTCACTGGCTGTTGAGGTTCTGCAGGTTTCACTGGCTGTTCAGGTTCCGCAGGCTTCTTTGGTTCTACAGGCTTTGCAGTCTTGTCTGGCTGTCCAGGCACTGCACTCTTCTCTGGAATCCCATTTGGCTGTTCAGGTTCGTTGTCTGCCTTTACTTGGTCATGCTTTCCTGCGTTGTGTGTGTCCTTATCATCATCATCATCATTGCTGTGGTCGGATGTTGAGTCTGAGTCTGTTCCATCGTCCCAAGCATCCTCATCATCAGGAAGAGAGTCCTCAAAGGCAAAGGGTACGATAAGCAATGTAGACACTGACAATGTTGCCCATAGTCGCCATCAAAGTTTTGATTTGTGCGTAAAGTTTTTTAATTGACCACGTGATCCAAACATATATATGCAAACAGGAAGATATCCCAGTCCTTGCGGCCCTTCTTCATGCGACGCTGTCGCACTTTTTCATTCACCTTGTCGACCTCTTCCTCAAAAAAGAGCGTGGGATTTGCAGGTGTGTCAGTGTCAGCTTCTGGGTTTCAATTTCAAACTTTTAACGAGAAACCACAAAATCAGGGTTTGACTTGATCCAACTCTTTTGGTTGTCAAATGGGATCTAGTTGCCATGGCCTGCAACATGGGATCCAGAATCAAGCAGAGCTGCTGGAAAGCTTTGACCTTAAATTGCAACACCCACAAGCGCGCACACACACACACGAAAAAAAACACGCTTATATATGCTTATATATGGCATGCTCTTCCTGTTTACTGCCCACAAACATCGAAACTGGAAGTTGGAGATCGTCACTTGAAAAAGACCTTTTCGTCCTGCACAAGTGAGTGACACGCGCACACACCCCTAAAATACCCCTAAACTATCAGACCAGGAAACCAACCACAACAATCAGTTCACCTATAAAGGTTTGCAACCTAGGTGCAGTGGATACCTCCTTACGCCTCACCTTCATCTTGCAGAATCCGCAAAGCTTGCGAAGGGCCCGGGCAGCGTCCGGAACGTCCACCCCACCAACATCAACACCTCTCTTGTTCTTCTCCAGTAGTGCTACAAGTTCATCCTTCAAAGCATCTATTATGGGAACAGTTCTCTCGGGGTTAGAAGCCATTCTCGAAAGTAAAGCCCCCAGCAACCCGCTATTGCTAACACAGGTTGATATGTCTTGACTGGCTGGGTTG